GGCCAGTTGTATAAAACTCTTAATCACTTTTTTAATCACTATTTTGTAGTTAAATAGTGATTAACTCTCAAATAGGCGCTTCTTATTGGATGACGTTTGCACTTAATCATAGTTAACTTTAATCACTTTTTTATACAACCGGCCCCTGCTCATTATAACACTTCAAAGTACGAAGACTTTTCAAACATCGATTCACAATGGCTTTTCATGTACAGAATATTTGTTAGACGAAATAATTTCAACACAAAAATTTTTGACACACCTTCATGGGCATAGTGATTCCAGACGCAAGTCTCTCCCCCTTCAAAACGGTACGAAGGCTTTCCGTCTTTAAATTCATAAGTTACTCCCGGACTATGAAACGTGCTGTACTCTCTATCGCATTTACACCTGCAACAATCTTTATCGAAGCATCTCGCCCTTCTGTCTTTACAATATTGTACATTTCGTTCGCATCCCGTCTGGTTTCGATTAGTAAAAACGTCGAGTTTCCCTCTTGAAACAACGAGAGCCTTCCCTTGTAGAATGAGGCAACAAATCCCTTGTAAAATGGCTAAAATTAAAGCAGTTCTGTCCATTCTTAGCGCTGTTAACGCGTTCGACCCTATTCAGCATGCAACATATTAAAAACAAAACTATATTCACAGGCTCTTGTTCATTTCGGAGCGGTTTCCCCCTGTTTCCTAATATTGTCGTTATGGTTATTTCATAATAAAAAGCCGGACAAGCAGCTAATATTAACCATTTTCTAAGTGCGTTTAGACACGAAAATATATAGCATTATAATAGGAAATTTTATAATTACGTTTTGGGCTATTTTTCAAGTCTTATTTCGGTTCAAATTAAAATGATAAATCATTACTTACGCTAATTGAACCCGCAATCGCTTGCACTTGAGTCTTAAGTCTGAATAGAGTTTTTAATCAAAAGCTAATATATTTAATATTGGTTTGCAATTGTACTCGTGTTATGCGCCCAACGGGGAATGTAGTGTAATTTTGTAATAGTTCTACTCAAAATATTTGAAATGGCCTTCAGTAATTCAAAGTGTTATAAATTTTTACTACAAGCTGTTTTGTGATTGTTGTATATAGTCCTTCAAACTTTCAAAGTATTTTGTCAAGTTTATATAAATTTATTGTGTAATTTACATTGACGTCATAAATTAATCCGCTATGTTGTCCGTCTGCATCACACAGATTTTGTCATAAAACTGGATGGTAGATGCTATTAACGTACTACCCGTCCAAGTTGAGCATGTTTTTTGTACACACGTTGCTACAGATCGGCTAGCAAGCTGTAACAAGGTTGTTGTCAAGCCCACATCAGGATGTGTTCGCACTGCTTGTTCCAAGTTGTTGTGACAAGTCTATGGAACAAGTTGTTATCATCCTGTCACAAGGTTGATGACGGTAACAGACTTGCTACAAGTTGTTCCAGCAAGACTAATACAGGCTGTTCGTAACGCGTTGCTACGAGCTTGTTGTCATCAACTTGTTAACAACCTGTTGCGTGCAGACAGTACACACGTAAAAACACAAGTTGCTACAGGTCTGCAAACAAGTTATTTATAAATCTGTTCACAAACAAGGTTTCTTCATAAATAGCTATAAAAAGAAAGACAATTATACCTATAATTTTGAAAGGTACGTTTCATTATGTGTGTTTTTGTGTGTAGATCAACAAACAGTACTGAATATATTAGGATGGGAACCGCTCAAACAACAAAGAGTAAAAGCCAAAGCAAAAGTTATGTTTAATAAAACGCTCAATAACATGGGACGAAATTCGCTTAAAGAATTATTTACTTTCAAAGCGGAAATATTAAACCACAATCTTCGTGATAACTCAAGTTCAATACGTTTGCCAAAGCCAAATACGAGCAATATGAAGATAAGTTTTATGTACGATGGAGCTTCTATCTGGAACTCCATACCACAATGTATAAAAGAGAAAATAAATCGATTTCATGTTTTAAAAGAAAAATCGCTACTCTTATACCTTTTGAAATAACATGATTCACGACGTAAATAGATACTCTTTGAATATTTATGTATATCTGCATGCTTATTCTTTATTCTTTATTCTTTTCATTGTACTTGTAACTGTTTGTAAATATTTTACACGCCCATCATGTGGAAACCAGCTTTAGCTGACAATGTTAGTATAGGTAATCATGCGATGGCGAGTACAATTAGGGATTAATAGTACGAGTGATGTTTGGAAATTTTGCCAAAATTGGACGAGCCGCCGGGGCGAGTCCAATTTGGCAAATTTCCAAACATCACGAGTATTATTAATCCCTAATTGTACGAGCAACATCGCATGATTACTTGTTTATTATTAGCATGGCAAAATTGGATACTTCTCAATGTCAACATCATATATTCTCTCGCCAAAGCCCAGTCCTGCCAGACTTTCAACTAAAATTTGGTGCTTTTGTTTGTATTTTCATCTAGTTCCTACACGGCAATTTCATTTCACATTTGTGTTTAAAATACCTTTTCACCATTTTGTTTGTTTTGGGAAAATCATTAATTGTACTGCAGTACAATTAATGAAATATTTATACTCGTCTCAATCAATCAGCATCCAGTAATTTTGTCATGCTAATAATAAGCGTGGTTAAATAAAGTTATCATTATCATCATCATGTATGTGTTTGTCTAATACTCGCTTCCTCGCTCTCATTTCTCTCGTTTCCGTAGTAACCTAATTTCCTTAGTTGTACAATATTGTACACTTGTACAATATTGTTATATCATGACTGTATCGGACTTGTTGGAATAACCTTGCTACAAGTCAGATAATATCAACAAGATTGTTGCAAGCTGTTTAATCAACTTGTACAATATTGTTATATCATAACTGTATCGGACTTGTTGAAACAACCTTGCTACAAGTCTGATAATATCAACAAGCTTGTTGCAAGCTGTTTAAACAACTTGTACAATATTGTTATATCATGACTGTATCATGCAGACTTGTTGGAACAACCTTGCTACAAGTCTGATAATATCAACAAGCTTGTTGCAAGCTGTTTAATCAACTTATTGTTATATCATGATTGTATCGGACTTGTTGGAACAACGTTGCTACAAGTCTGATAATTTCAACAAGCTTGTTACAACTGTTTAATCAACTTGTACACTATTGTTATATGACTTATATCATCACTGTATCGGACTTGTTGGAACAACCTTCCTTCAAGTCTGATAATATCAACAAGCTTGTTACAAGCTGTTAACAACTTGTACAATATTGTTATATCTTGACTGTATCGGACTTGTTGGAACAACCTTGCTACAAGTCTGATAATATCAACAAGCTTGTTGCAAGCTGTTTAGTCAACTTGTACAATATTGTTATATCATGACTGTATCGGACTTGTTGGAGCAACCTTGCTACAAGTCTGATAATATCAACAAGCTTGAATACAAGCTGTTTAATCAACTTGTACAATATTGTTATATCATGACTGTATCAGACTTGTTGGAACAACCTTGCTACAAGTCTGATAATATCAACAAGCTTGTTACAAGCTGTTTAATCAACTTGTACAATATTGTTATATCATGACTGTATCAGACTTGTTGGAACAACCTTGCTACAAGTCTGATAATATCAACAAGCTTGTTACAAGCTGTTAACAACTTGCACAATATTGTTATATCATGACTGTATCGGACTTGTTTGAACAACCTTGCTACAAGTCTGATAATATCAACAAGCTTGTTACAAGCTGTTTAATCAACTTGTACAATATTGTTATATCATGACTGTATCAGACTTGTTGGAACAACCTTGCTACTTATCTCATACCTAGCGTATTAGCGGCTTTCCTATTATTGGCTACGAGGAGGTGCGTTCAATCTCGAACCCACCTGCTGACGTAAGTTTAGGAGGTGGGTTCGAGTCGATGTTTTGGCGGCGGCCATTATGAAGCGATTTGAACAAATTTCCGACGAAGATTTATATAAAAAAATAAATTAACTGTTTTTAATTGTTTTATTTATTTTTTGTGATGAAAATGGAATATTCTGTATTCAAAGTGGAAAAGAAGAAAGATGGCCACCGCAATTTGTTCGGCACGGCCCGCACGGGCAGGTTTATATAAATCTTGGCATTGTTTTCGCAGAATGTGTTCATTTTCTCTTTTGACTCGGGTGGCTGGAAGTTTCTCCAGCCACCCTCGTTGCGTCCAATCCCGGACTCACCTCCCTGCAAGTATGTTTGTTTATATAGAACTGGTGGAACAGGGAGCGCTACGCTTTTCAAATTATGTGAAATTACAGCACTCGTACCCCGTAGTTTTTGTCAAACATTGTGGCTGCCAGCTAGTGCGAATTATGAGGTTTTTTTTACATTTTTCAATTATACAGTAGAGGCTAGACAGCAAGGGGCACAATAGCCTTGCCATTTATTAGGCTCTGTTTACATTGTATCGGATCAGTTTTTGTTTCGTTCGCGAAAAGATACGGCCCAAGTGTAAACAGCTTCCGCCCCGCCCATCTATGCCGTCGTATTTCTTCTATATATTATTAGAATAGTAAGTTGTTGTTTGCCAGATGCGATCTTGAGTCACGCATTGAACCGAAAATTGCTCCGATTTGTGTTTACATTACAATGAGAGCGTTGCAAAAAGCGATCCGATACATCGCGCACCACTTCGAAGAGCGAACCGCCGCACCACCGGTCCGTTGCAGAAATTGAGACGATAACAACATTTCATATGTAAACAGAAGCCCTATCCGGTATGGTTTTTGCGTCGGACGCAAAGTGATCCGATACAATA